CATCAGGGGAGATAGCAAAAGGAAATAAACAGAACACCAAACTCATAGATTAGGCCTACTTTACAGTTTCCCTTGAATTTATTACTGGATCCCTTATAGCGAGAATTCTGCTATAACGGACATTTTGCTCCGGTCCCCTCCCTCTCGTTATAACAGGAGTCCACTGTAGTGTAATTTGGTGGAACTCGTTTTCCCTCCACCCATGGCAATCGCGGGCAGCACAGATGTAGAAGAGACAAGACTGGCCACAGTGTGTGTCTCTTCTCTGTCAGCGTATATCTCGTCAAGATGGCAGTCAATGCCGTCCCGTGGTACAGACAGCCCCGCGGTACTGCCAACTTTATGCTCGTCCCAAGATTGTGGTACAGCAAGGTTTGACTGTACTTGTACACATACCTGGCTTATGGACACAGAAAGAGCCTTAGAAATTTTTTTCTAAATTTCAGGCTTTATTTACGAAACATATTTACATCGATCCTATTGAGATATGAAATAAGCAGATTTTCTAGTTGTTACTTGCAAGAATTTTGTTACTTTAAAGTCATGGAAAAGTAACAGCAAAACTACTTTCAGAGCATATTATATTTCAAGGGAATTTTTGCAGAAAAAGGTCTCATCATTCCTGCCACAAGATCTCTCAGACTCCGTGGCTTCGTTGTGACCCTGCTTTACAAATGAGGAAAAAACTCGGAAGATATTTATTTTTCCCCCAACAACGATACTGAGAATGGAGCAAAGTTCGCTTATATTTGAAGCTGCGATATTGGGAACCGAGGAAAGTTTGCTTATGTTTGAAGCTATGATATTGAGAACATAACAAAGTTAGCTCATATGTAGTCACAGAATTGAGAATATAGAGAGTAAAGTTAGCTTACAATCATGTTAGGTCACAGAATTGAGAATAGAGAGAGTAAAGTTAGCCTACAATCATGTTAGGTCACAGTATTGAGAATAGAGAGAGTAAAGTTAGCTTACAATCATGTTAGGTCACAGTATTGAGAATAGAGAGAGTAAAGTTAGCTTACAATCATGTTAGGTCACAGAATTGAGAATAGAGAGAGTAAAGTTAGCTTACAATCATGTTAGGTCACAGTATTGAGAATAGAGAGAGTAAAGTTAGCTTACAATCATGTTAGGTCACAGAATTGAGAATAGAGAGAGTAAAGTTAGCTTACAATCATGTTAGGTCACAGAATTGAAAACAGGACTGTGTGCAAACCCACCCTTACCAATCTTGGACAGCAAAAGTTATACGGGCAGCCTGCTCATTTTGCCTTGATGAATCTTGAACATGGATAATCTTGTCAGAGCATTTTATCTTGACTTTAGTCGGTACAGCCGGCTTTTTTAATCTCATGATATCGGCCAGAGCTAGTGTCAATGGATCTGAGTGTGTAAAGCGCTTATATTTGTTGTCATATACCCCCCCCCCCCCCCCAATTAGTAGCCTAGTCTACAATTTGCTCAGACAACAACACCGTCCTGTTCCCACATTCCAGTGTAAGCTTAGATCTAATTCTATAGACTTCATCCCACATTCCAGTGTAAGCTTAGATCTAATTCTATAGACTTCATCCCACATTCCAGTGTAAGCTTAGACCTAATTCTATAGACTTCATCCCACATTCCTCCAGTGTAAGCTTAGATCTAATTCTATAGACTTCATCCCGTGACTGTCTAGAGATCTCCATGAGAGTCTCAAAAAGTAGTGGCGACCTGTCTGTTGGCCCATGTATCTCAGGCTTGTGACAAAGTGTGGTGTGGATGAGAATACGTCACATATTGTGTGTATGGTTCCTGTGTGCTCATATCAAAGAAAAAGTCAGAACCTTAGTTTGCAGTGACCTTCAGTAATGGGCTTCTAGATTCTGTAGGTAACCCAGCTGTTAGATCCACATACAAAGACCTGAGAATTGTACAGTGGAATCCTGTTATAACGAGAGGGAGGGGACCGGTGCGAAATGTCCCTTATAGCAGGATTCTCGTTGTAAGGGATCCAGTAATAAATTCAAGGGAAATGGTAAAGCAGGCCTAATCTATGAGTTTGGCGTTCTGTTTATTCCTTTTTGTATTTCCCCTGATGATGATTTGTTCAACATGATCTCTAGGTCTTACTTGATCAAATATCGAATTAGGTTTCTTTCTCTAGCACTAGCAATGTTGACAGCTCGGCGTTGGCGATCAGAAAGAAGGGGCTCTGGCTCTAGGCTAACTCGCCCGCTGTGTTGTCCCCCACCCCACCACACCCTGTGGTGCGTTGAGTCTGCTTGCGCACGTCACACATTCACTCCATCTATCACAGCATTGTGACCTCTCCATCCCGCACCAGAGAAGTGAGAGGCACGGTATGCCTAGATAATCTAGACTGGGCTGGCCTATCATGCGATGCGTTCTGCTTGTCTGCGCATGCCACACCCTCCCCACTCATTCGCTCCGGCCTCCATCGTTGGTTCACGTGGGCTCTCCTATTCTTTGTTTCGCTGAATCACCAACAAGTTTCTCAACTGGCGAGGTTTTATAATATGTTTAATTGGTCTGTGCACAGCAGCAGCAATGTTCCGTTAAAACCGACTCGCGTGACGGTCTGATTGCGCAATAGCAGTATTTTATTTACAAAGATAAAGAAGTGGAAAAAACGGGGTTTTAGAATAGTGTCTTTATAACAGACTTCTCGTTGTTTCAGGACTCGTTATAAGTGGACTCCACTGTACTCAGTTATTTGCTTTCATCTCGTTTTAACCTTGGGCAGAGGAAAGTGATCAGGCTAAAGTGATTCATCGGCCATCTTTTCTTAGCTCCGTGTCCAGAAGAGGGATTCGCCTTGCTTGCTTTCATTTTATGCCGTAGATTGCCACCCATTCTATTATAATTATAGTGTTGTTTGTATTGTTTCCCTGCACTCCTCAAATCAATGTTGTAACATTGCTACAATGTACCAGTAAATGTGAGTCCTCTTTTGTTCATCTCTGTCCACACGTCTCAAGAATGGGACCATGGTTCGTCCTCTGTCTGTCCACACATCTCAAGGTTGGGAAAATGGTTCGTTCTCTGTCTGTCCACGCTTCTCAAGGTTGGGAAAATGGTTCGTCCTCTGTCTGTTCACACATCTCAAGGTTGGGAAAATGGTTCGTTCTCTGTCTGTCCACGCTTCTCAAGGTTGGGAAAATGGTTCGTCCTCTGTCCACGCTTCTCAAGGTTGGGAAAATGGTTCGTCCTCTGTCTGTTCACACATCTCAAGGTTGGGAAAATGGTTCGTCCTCTGTCTGTCCACGCTTCTCAAGGTTGGGAAAATGGTTCGTCCTCTGTCCACGCTTCTCAAGGTTGGGAAAATGGTTCGTCCTCTGAAGATTGGCCATACATTCAATGTGGGATCTTGTTCATTGATCTCTCCGTGCCTCAAGTACTGCTGGTTCCCGGAGATTGTCTCTGCCTTAGTTCACGCATTATCATCCCTGCCCATGTACAGTTTACTCTGTGTCTCTGCCTTAGTTCACGCATTATCATCCCTGCCCATGTACAGTTTACTCTGTGTTTATGCCTTAGTTCACGCATTATCATCCCTGCCCATGTACAGTTTACTCTGTGTTTATGCCTTAGTTCACGCATTATCATCCCTGCCCATGTACAGTTTACTCTGTGTTTATGCCTTAGTTCACGCATTATCATCCCTGCCCATGTACAGTTTACTCTGTGTTTATGCCTTAGT